TTGGCCGAAACACCGAACAACATGAACATTCTCTCGAACAACTCAAGCTGAACAAACATGTTATTACATATAATGACTGAATACGCAAAGCTTGTTCGAGATATTTTGAATAAAACATGATCGTACTCGATGATCTACTCGTACAGTCGAATTTAATTTAAACCGTATCGAATATGACTAAAGCAATACTGAACTCATATGACTTTAACATGATCAAACTAAGGCAAATCTTCGTTACCTCTCCCTTGTTCGGTGTTCGCGTGTGCGTGCGTGCTTGGTTGCTTCTTGCGGTAGCTACTTGCGGTGCGTGCGGTACTCAAGAAATCTCACTAACTTTCACTCTTATAATCTATATGATATATGCTGAATAGATGTTTAAGGGAAAGTGGGAAATTTTCCCCAACCCACATCTATATATATACACGGCAATTGAGAGGGGATGATGTAGTAATTTGGTGTCCTCACCATTTCTTGACACTTGCTAAAAGCTTAGTGGCTAAAAAGTGATTAGTCATAAAAAATTATCCTAATATGCCACGTCCAAGAACTTAGAAGAGAGGAAATTGTTTCCCTATGTTAAAGTAACTTCCTTACGGCCATTTAGAATAAATAGCACAAAAGCTACGGCTTATATTTGTTAATTGTGATTAATTACTAACTAATCATAATTAAATGCTTAATTACCAAAATTATTTCGAACGTAAACGGAACGTCGAAAATAATTTCGGGTAATCTCGACTGAAATAATTAATTCCGAAAAATAATACTCGAAAATATTATTATATCGGAACTAAAACATGATTTATATTACTAATCTGACGGGATATTACAAGGGGTGTCAAGGTAGATACTATATGCAACTCTTATGGAGAAGACCATGAAGATATTGAGCATTGCCTTTACAAATGCTGCAAAGCCAAAGCCTGTTGGAAACTTATGGGTCTGGAATGGACAACCTTTGAGAAAGATCAAAAATTGGTGCAAGACTGGTGGGAGGATATCTGCTGTAGCCCTAAATTCAAACAGATGAAATATAGTGTTCTCCTCTCTTTATGTCTTATGTGGAGAATCTGGAAGGCTAGAAACAAACAAATTTTCAGCAATGAGCCTTTTGAGGTAGAGAAGATTGTGAAAGGAGCCAAAAAAGATTGGATGGAAATGATGAAATTCAAACCCAGGGATCAAGACATGTCAACAGAGGAATCTTATACTGAGTACAAAAGGAGACAATTTTCCAAGAGGGTAGGACTTGTGATCTTACAAGTCAGTGCTCTATGTCTGCCTGATGGAAAAGTAGAGATCAAATATTGTATACAGAGGGATGGAAGGGTTGCTGAGGAGTGGAACAAGCAGGAAGATTGGGCAGAAAATATCACAGTGGCTCACCTGATGGCAGTGAGAGTTGCTTTGTTTGAGGCTGTGAATAGAAACTGGAAGGAGATCCATTGCATTGTACCTGATGAAGATGTTGTTCTTCATCTTCAATCTCCAAGAGAAACTCAATCTGCGTGGTCTGGAATATTGGAGGATATCAGCTCATGTCATAAATCGTTTGTGTCTTGTACATATGCTACTGCTTTGTAGTTTGTTGTCTTGTTTTTTGTTAACCATCTTTGGTTGTTTAGGGTAATGCTGTATGTAGTACCCGGTTGCTTTCCTATGTTAGCTTTGCTAGTGTGGTCAGTGTATGTAATCAGTTGATTTCCGGCACATTTGGTTTGAGTTTTCAATATAATGTTAATTTTCGTTTGGAAAAAAAAAAAATGTATGTCACAATGTCTCAAAAAATTGTTAGTCCCTTTGTGGTTCAAAGAAGATTCAGTTTCAAGCAAATGCAATAAAGGGAGAATGTCATGAAAGCATCTTCAACAAATCAATTAGCCGTTGAATAATTCTAATTATGAGATCGAGTTTTACTAATGAGAACTAGAGTTATACGAGAAATTTTACGCGAAATTCACATTGGAAGGTCTTTACATTCAAAAGTTAGAACTCATCCTTTGTAAACTAGAAAGGATTGCACTTTATGGAGATGTTCTTTGCATGATCCCTATGTGTTTTGGAAACTTATGATATAGAATTCAATCTAGAAACACGCTTTTCATATATAAACATATGAGAATGTAATAGCATTCGAGGGTACATTTCCTCTTAAAACTCTGAATCATTCGTAACAATTACATTTTCCTCTTAAAACTCTGAATCATTTGTAACTATAGTGTACATTTTCCTCTGAATCATTTGTAACAATAGTGTACGTTGCTGTGACCCCAATGTCTCTTTCTCTTCAAAATAAAATAAATATAAGACGTAACGAAATGAAAAAAACCTAAACTAAACTAACCACCAGGGCAAATGTTAGTACTCAAATCAAGCCAAACCCCAGAAATCCCTAAACCACATGGATCAATATGCTAATGCAGACTAGCATTCTCTGATGTTTGGGTGAAAATGTTAGTAGATTGTTGCTTGTGCTGCGCTGAGGTGGCACGGGTCGTAATGTTGCGAGGCCAAGTAGGTGAGGGCTGTCACAACATCCCTCATCAGGGGTCTTGTGGCGGCGTGCTCCTGCAAGCACATGGCCGCCACTGCCAATGCCTGGTAAAGCCCTCGCATTGGGTACCGCCCTTCCAGTAGAGGGTCCGCCATTTTTGCAAACTTCCTCCTATCCTTGAAAAGCGGTTTGGCCTATTTTTTTTGATAAAAAAACGTATCAATTAGTATAGTTTAAAATAATTTACATTCCTTGCTTTGTGTCATGCCATGCGTTTATTCTTATTTATAACCTTGCATGTAACAATGCACCTGTTTTACCCCTACTTCTGTCATTTGCGTTCTTCAAATACATGTCAAAGATGCAACTTTGTCAGTTAGAAAGGAACACGTGCCGACTGTATAATCGAGTTTTTGAACAATAATCAGTTTCTTTTGTGATTAAACCCCAAGGGTAGTTTTCGCATTAATTATCCATAATGTTCAAGAAGCAAAAACATGGAGGAGGAAAATATCTAAAAACATTTCCTATGTTTCTAGATTATGTTCATGTCTCAAGACATGGAGGTGCATATTTTAAAATTAATTAAATAAATACCACGTACCCATAAAACGAGATTATGCTCCGCTGGACCTTTTGTGTTGTCAATCGCCCTTCGACCTGTAATGATCTCAAGGAAGACCACTCCAAAGCTATAAACATCGGACTTCAACGTAAGTTGACCGGTCATAGCATACTCAGGGGCGCAGTAACCATACGTGCCCATCACCCTAGTCGAGACATGGGTTTTATCACCGACGGGACCCAGTTTTGCGAGCCCAAAATCAGACAACTTGGGAAAGAAGCCCTCATCGAGGAGGATGTTAGAGGATTTCAGGTCTCGGTATATAACAGGAGGATTGGCTTTGTCATGCAAGTATTCTATGCCCTTAGCTGCCCCTGCAGCAATCTTCATCCTCGTGTTCCAGTCCAGTGGTTCCTTACCCACTGGAAGGTCTGTTATTATGCAAACCACATCAACATATTGGAATGTGTTTGAATATGTAAACAAGTCACAACAACTTAGAGCACAATTCGACTATTTACAGCATAATTCAGATAATTCATGAGCCTGTGTGTGATTTCAAGTTTCAACAGCACTTTTACTACATAAAGGAAGGCAGTACAAAGTTGTATTAACAAGTCTATATATTCGCTGTTTGCCCTCTTTTGTTCCTTTTTAAAAAATTTAATACATTCTTCTACAACCAGTACAAATTATGCTGTGAGGTTCTGTTTGCACATAAAATTACAGCCATCAAGTTCACACAATAATTTGCATGCACAAGCAGCATAAGAAACTACAAGGGATATGTTTGGTAAACCTATCCGATAAGCTAGCTTATAGTTTTAAGTAAATTTTGAGCTGATAGCTTATGACTGAAAAACTATCTTATGTGATAAAAGTGTTTGGTAAAATTAGCTGATAAACTAGTTAAAATAAAAAATTCAATGGGCTTATTTGAAAAGCTATCCAAGGAGATAAGCTCGAGTTTTTTTTTTTTAAAAAAACTCGTCTTACGAAACCAAACTTCTTTGAACATAAGAAGTTTATAAACTAATCAAATAAGCTATAAACTAACTTATGCTTTACCAAACACAACCTAAGACAGAACCAACCAGCTAAAGAGAAAGATGTGTATATTGTTACTCCTAAATCTGTTTAATGAATGCAAAATTCGTAAGTACGAAATGTGGATGTTTATCAACAAGGATATTCATCAAAGTTCCTAACAGATCCAGCTTGCCCAAGCTTTCTTATATATTAGTACTATGACGTATAATTTAATAACCAGCCAAAACCAATTCAATAACCGGCAGCAGAAAATGAAGAAGAACAGTTTGCCCAGAATAACTAACCATGTAAATGATCTTCCAGGGATCCCAATGGCATGTACTCATACACCAGAAGTCGTTGGTCACCATCAGCACAGTAACCTATCAAATTCACGAGATTTGGATGGTGCAAAAGGCTAAGCATTAGAACCTCCACCAAAAATTCTCGATTTCCTTGAAGCCCATTTCGATCAAGCTGCTTAACAGCTACCACCTGTGCACATAAAAATGTATACTAATTCAAAATTACACAAACTCCGACTTGCAAGAAGTAAAACTCACTAAAGTAAATTATCATCTAAGAGCAGAAGATACTTCATAACAAGAAATCGCTTTTTTAAGTGCAAGGATTTTAAGATTTATTTAACATTTATATACTGATCATGGCCAACCTGTTCTGTGCCTTGGAGATGACCTTTGTAGACACGTCCAAACCCACCTTCTCCAACCAAGCACTCTGGTCTGAAGTTGTTTGTAGCTGCAGCCAGCTCACGAAAGGTAAACGTTTGTGCAGCAATATTCGACTCTTTCGGGATTGAAGTTGCCTTTTTAGGATCATTACTACCTCGCGACTTTGATCTATCTGTCAAGCATAAGATAAATGCTTAAGACTAACAAGTGAGGGTAGCAAATCTTGGTTGAAACTGTATTAACTTATATAATCTGCTACAATTGTCTGAAAGAATGCTTGCAATTTGAAAGTCGACTAGTGAGCGAGAGCAAGTTCTGTCCTAACACATCCTTAATTATTATTCAACGATTCTAGAAATAATACGAGACCAATATCGAATAGTGTGGTATTGAATAAAACAAATACTTTAGGGCTCGACTACAAATTTTCTACTCATTCCACATTCTACCTTATGGTTGGATAAACCTCTTTTGAACATTGCTCCAAAGTTAACCGGCCAGAAAGACTTGGATGATGTTTAACTAGTCAGTTCTATATACTAAATAGATGAAAACAAGACATAATCTGTAAACCTCAAGGAAGGGCAGCTCTGCACAAGACTGGGCAAGGGGAAGAAGCCCACTAAACAAAGCTTAACAAGTGATATGCGAATTCGAAGATATCGATGCACAGGTACAAATTCTTGAAAAAAATAGCAACATAGTGAAGCCATTTTTACCTGAACTCACTCTATTTACACGACTGTTTGCTGAATTGTCTTTGAATGAACCCTCATTTGAAAAACCTTTAACTCCATTTCTTGTACCATTATGTTCTTCATTCTTTGATGATCTAAAACAACAGGGGATACACCCCATAACCATCAAACACTCACTGACAAACCAAAATAATAACAATAATAATAATAAAAGGACTTTCAATATATATTGTTTTTCATGTACACAAATTCCTTCAGCAGACCATCTCAGGGGAAAAATTCGTTCTTTCCAAGTTTGTTAAGAAAACAACTTTGAAATTGAGCCATCGCATTCGCATCAAACATCTCAGTCAGTTTAAATAGAAAAGCAAATTAAAAATCGATGAAAATCCTGAGAGAAAGGTAAAAAAGACGAACAGCAAATGTCTAGTCTACTTGAAAAAGGAGCAATTCAAGTAAATATTACAAAGAATAAATATTGGTTGAATAAAAATTGCACACTTAAGAAAATATAATTTTTATTTTTTATGAAATATAATATTATTAAGAATGAAAAATATATTTAGTTAAAAAGTATATAGGTGGATATAAGATGAATCTAACGAAAATTGGTGCTATGCGTAGTATTTGTAGAAGTAAAGAAATGGGAAGGTGGTTGAAGTCAAATGGAGGAAGGATTTATTAAGGAGAGAAATATGGCCACAGTTGGCCCGGCCCGTGCCCGGACATGTCCGCCCTATCCGGTTTTTAAACCGGCACGAAATCTTTTAAGGGCCGTTACGAGTCGTGTTGTATTCTTTTTTTACCTGCTTAGACTAGTTGGGCCTAGGTTTTTCGACGGGCCACAGTTATAATTTTATTTTATTTTTTTTTTAAACCGATGATTCAATGAACCGCGGGTCGGTGAACCGGCCCTTGGATACAACCGGGCGGTTACGGGCCTAGCATTTGAGGCCCGCCGACCTGGGGTATGGCCACCTCTAGTTGGATTGGATTAAATTGGACATATTTGGTAAAAATATTTTATATAAATAAAAGGATTTATGAGAAAGATTATATTCGAAATAAGGGGTATAAATAATTATTAATGATATACAAATAGTAAAATAATTATTAGTAGTGGTAATCATATGAATGGGTGATTAATAAATTTCAGAAAAATGGATAGTAATTATTAGCTATTAGGTTAAAATTTATATTTCAAATTGTATAAGGAGATAAAGATAAAATTTTTAACCTTTTGGATTAGGTGAAGAATAGATTAATTAGTGAGCGTATCTTTTATTGGGCTGTGTAGTGTTGACTCTTTTGAGCAAACCGTGTATGATGTAGACCGCACTACTTGGTATGCATTTATTTGGAATTGACGATGGGTAGTACGCAATTGTCAATTACGCGGTATTGAATGAAATTACACGTTAAAAAAAAAGAAAATAAATTCTATATTAGGGTCAAATTTTTTTTCATCCCGTTATAAATCTATTCTTTTTTTATACACCTCCCCATCAAATAACTTTTTTTACACCCCAAAACTCACGAAATGCTATGCGATATTACACTCGCATGTCCAAATGAACCAACGCATATCCAAACGGATGCATAATTTATGACTATGCGAAAACATTTCGCATTTTTGTAATCGCATATCCACATCAAATGCATAATTTACAAATATGCGAACATCTTTCGCAGTTTTAAGAATCGCATATCAAAATCGAATGCAGCATAATTTACGATGATTATGCGCCTTATTTCGCAGGGCTATATCGACCTTGCAAATTTATGACTGTGCGAAAACTTTTCGCATATAATTCGCATTATTTGTTGAATTCGCATTTTCTGGAAATTGCATATCCAAGTCAATCGCATAATTTACTAGTATGCGAAAAACTTTCGCATATATCCGCCGGATAACTGACAATGATGCGACATGTTTTCGCTCGCATATTGAAGAATCGCATAACAAAATCGAATAAAGCATAAATTAATTGACGATTACGCGCCATTTTTTCGCAGGGCCATATCGTCATGGCAATTTTACGACTATTCGGAATTTGATCGCATATCTGTCGCATAAGTTACGCACCTCATTAATTGACTGCTTTTTCACAGGTGAAAATTTTGTCTGTGCATTTATCATGCAGGCAAAAAAACAGTGATATCTAACAATTCAACGTCTGCACCATTCTTCTCTACTGCAATTTTCTGTTTCTTTCGTTTTAATTCCTTTTGTTGTTCACTTATTTGAATGGCTAGCACCCGTGTTAGAGTATGCTTGAGCTATGGTGGTACGTTTTCCGTGGGTTCATATCTTGGTGGAGTGGCAGAGCTGATGAGAATAAATTACGGCCGACAATGTATTCTGAAGTAGTTTCTCGTGTACAAATATTATTGAAGGCCGATCCTTGTAATTTTGAGTACATATTGTGGGCAGTATTTGATGGAAGAAAACGAAAAGTGAAGATGAAAATATAATCCAGTGAGGATATCTTAGAGCTGATTGAAGAACAAAAAACTCCCAACATTTGCGTGGAGTTGGAGAAGCGAGTAAATGTAGGTGTTCCGGGGACGACGCAACAAAGCTTCACGCAAATGATGGCGTCCCAAGGTGTATTTCCGAGTTCTTTTGGTGTTGGTAGTTCTGCATTTTCCCACGAGTCCCCATATTCACATCAAACAGGCCCTAGTTCATTTACACATACTGGATATCCTCGGGGCGCTGATGATCAAACCGCGGGTTCTTCGAACCAACCAAGTCATTCTCGTGACGATGACAATAATGATGACCAAACCAACACGCACAATGGTGACTCAGGCGACGAAGACAAAGAGGTACATGAGAAGCAAATGTTCAAGCTTTTCAGGGCGTGGTATAGCGAGCATATTGAAGAGCTAAGATTAATCACCGACCATATTGAGATTGAAAGTCTTGCATATATGAATCGAGGCAGCACCCGGCAATCCGACGTTGAGCCACGAATGTGGTCCCTTCCTATGCCGCCCACGACAACTGGATCAGATAGACAACCCATCCACTTACCCTCGAACAATATAGAATTATCTTTGGGGTCTGTCTTTCTTTCGAAAGAAGAGTTGATTTGTGCCATTCAACTGTATCACTTGCAACAAAAAGTTGAGTGTCGAACACCCAAATCCTGCACTTCTAGGTTACAATCTGTTTGTCGGTATGAAGGGTGTTCTTACAAGTTATGTGCAAGGGCAAAGCGAGATGTATGGAGAATCACTACTTTGAAACTCGAGCATACATGCGAAGGGAGTTTGACGCACAATCGACACCGTTCGGCTAATTCCAAGGTTCTCGCTCATATTTACCCATCAACTATTCAGACAAATCCCCAGACGGTATCTACACGGAGATTTCTTGAACAAATGAGGGAGGAGCATGGTTTGTCGATCAGCTACAATGTGTCCCTCCGAGCAAGACACCGTGCTTTTGAAAAAGTTTATGGAGGTTATGAAGAATCATGGGGGCGGCTTCCCGGTTACTTGCACATGTTGCAGGTTCGTAATCCAGGTACAATTGTCGAACTGCAACGAGATGGCGAGGTATTCCAACACTTGTTC